ACCAAAAAAAAAAAAGTGGAAAGAAAAGCTTAAGAAAAATGAAAAAAGCACAAACGAGAAACAAAAGGTCAATGCACGTAATAATTAAGTTCTTAAAAGGAATTTGTGCAATAGAAATATTCATGGCAATAGAGAACGTCTCTGAAGATACGACTTAGAATTTGGGCATGACAATATTACAAATATACAAGTCTCAGGTGAACAATGTTTTAATTTTGCAGGAATGAAAACCATAAAGAACACAAAATAAATTTATATATGAAGTTCATAAAATGCAAGTAGAGGTACTTCTTGTATATACTAGTATTACAAGTACACAAGTTTTTGACAAACAATACTTTAGTTTGAAACTCTCAAAAAAAAAAAAATAAATAAATAAATAAATAAAAAATAAAGAAAAAGAAACTCATAGAAGAACACTATGAACTAGAGCACTAGAGTTCTAAAAAACTAAAGTAAAATGTAATAACAATATAACACTCATGTGAATTGTGTTAGATATGTTGTAAAAGTTTGGCTTTCAAATATAAACAATTCCGTTTTGATATGACAATCGTGTTTTAGTCAAAGTATTTATGTTGTAGTTTATTTATTTAGGCAATCATAACTCCTTTATTTTACATTGTAGATAATATGGTTTGTCGTGTCGAACAGAAAAGTCATATTATTGGTTCCTTGTAAAATATAAATTAATTATCCACAATCTGTACAGGCAGTGAGACCCCTATTGGAAAAATACTGTAGTGTAGCCTTAATTCAATTGGTCTTTGACTGATGGGTTACACTAGTACTTATGATAAGTATTGAACGGATCGCGGAAGGATAAGATTATAAGAATTATTGATTGTGGTTATAATATAGACCTTCAGTAATTGATGTTTACTCTTAAGCTGTAATATAATATAAAAGGGACATATATATATATATATATCCATTACCTATTTATTTGATTTATCATGGGTGATTCATATTCTGTTAGGATGACATACTCGGTATTTTGGTAAGTGAGAGTTTTACATGATATGTTGTTATAAATTATTTACAGTCACTATGCCCAGTGCGCTGGGTTGATGACGTCCCCGAAATGAGCTGATGAAGGAATATTATGTCAAATCTTGCATGTGGATAATTATCCGACATAATGTGTAAATGAACTGAGTGGTACTAGTTTCGGAAATGAAAAAAGTCAAACTAATTTAATTGTCAGTAATTAAATTATTGACGGACGTTATACCTTAAACATAGGGTGATAAATCAATCAATTAGATTAATATTTATTAATCATTTAGAGGTTCGAATTTATTGAATAAATTGGAGCTAAATGAGGAAAACAATAATATTACTCTAATGAGGTATTTTATTATTTAATTTTATTTAGGAAATTAGGAATTAATTATATTCCCTATTTTAGATTCTAATAATTCTATTAGAAGATGAATATTCCTTCTAGAATATTACTTAGAGTTAAAAGAATATAGAGTCTTCTAGAAGGTAATATAGGTTAGAAGGAATATGACTTCTAGATAGGATAAGATATGGAGCATAATTAGGATTCCTAAGCCTAAATGGATAAATCCATATTTAACACCTCCGGTCCCTAATGTAACCTATAAATACACAATGTCCCAACCTCTTCCCCTACGCGTACAATAACCGATTTTTAGGTCTTCCCAATAGAGGAAAAACGTGTTCTTCATATACTCGAGAGTTCGGGAGATTCGATTAATCGCTCCATCAAGATTAATTGAAGTAGGTGTTTAGGTAATACATTAGAAGACTTTAAGGTACAATTTATTCGAGCCTTTTA